TTTGCTATTGCCTATAAGAAGAAGTTCAAAAAAAGGAATTAAATAACCTAAATATATGAATAAATAAGAGAGGTACATTCATTATCTTAGTATGCAATAGAATAACCTGCAAATAGAATTTACATTTACATAGCACTGCTTAAATTTGATTACAAAGAAGAAAGACTATTAAAAGTTACATACACTACTTCTTAAGAAAGAAAGACAGAAAGGCTTGGAAAGGCAGAAAGTGATAACTACTCACATCTTTTGGATCAAGAAGATTGATTCGAGACTGATCAGAAGGTGCAGACTTGGACATCTATAAGATTGAATGTCAGATTTAGTAAGTAGTAGTAAGATATTTGATGGCACATTGAAATATACCATTTGTTGCCTCTTTACCTGTCATAATTCAAGACCTATAATGACTTAGCATTGAACTGTTATACCAAAATTTGAAGGTAAAGAAATTTCAATTTGCATAGAAAGAATTTTCCTTCTTACATTAAAATAATAATGATGAATAGATGCTCCTAGCAGCTCAATACAGAGATTCAAGAAAGATAATTTAGACAAAGGATTGTTCCATTAGATGAATGGCCATTTCAGCATCCACATGAAGCAGTTTAACAACTCCTAAGCAATAGAATGAAAAGGAAAATGTGGAAACACATTCCTACCACTAAGGAAATGAGTTATCAGAAATATTTAATTTTATGGGCAAAATCATCTTGTACAATTTGTTCTACACTTTCTGAATCAATATGGGGATCTGAGGCATACAGCATACCCATTACTCTAGGATGATGCTGAGAAGAATAGCAGAATAGAAGTAACATAGAGTTCAACATTAAGATTCCCAACATAACCACTGCCATAGAAACTTCAAATACGAACTTGCTTGATCTAAAAGCAGGGCATACAACATAGATTACCTTGGAAAAACCATCAGTGAGGGACATAATTCGTGCTCCAGCTGGAGGAATAAGGGGCTCAGGAACCTGCATCAAGGATCACAGTGAGCATTGCAACATGTATCATGACTCAAACGCTTCTATGAAGGCAAGAGAGAAAAGCTACCTTAAAAATAGCACCACCTTGCCTGCAATCAAAAATAAAAATTGTTGTTAATCTCAAATCTTTAGTGAAGATAAAATAAAACTAATATCATATGGCTAGGGTGGGTGTTTGAGAGAGAGTAGCAATTAGAATGCACAAGAGGAAAAGTATGAAGAGTTCAGACTTGATGGGAAATTAACCCACTAAAATATTGTAAAGAGATCAAGTTCAACAAGAAACCAAGTCCACTACTTTTATATATTCATTTGATATGCAAAAATGTATAAAAAAAACAAGGAGACTAATGAAGGAAACTGTATGAACTTTTAAAAGAACAATTCTCATATCAAGATATAATTTCTTCTCACCCTCCCAATTTTTTCCACTTCCTTCCTCCATATAAATGATTAACACGAGCAGCCACTTCACGGGTCAATTCTAGATGCTGCTTCTGATCCTCACCAACTGGAACAAAGTCTGACTGCAGAATCATGCTTCTTAGTGTAAGAACTATTAACTATGAATGCAAAAAAGGAATTTATCCAACTATTCTAAACATTACCAAATGCTTATAGCCACATATCAAATTGTAAAGGTTGTTAAGATAAAATAAAAATAATCAAATAATTATTGCCATACGAACTAGTATTATATTAAGTAGAGTGAAGAATTTGCCCCTACCACGTAAGTTCATCTAACTACAGGCATTAGCATAAAGTTACAAGTAAACGATAAATTAGTAACTTTTGGAAAGAATTTTTCATCTCTTACATGTTTCCCAAAATACCTGATATAGAAGAATATCAGAAGCCATGAGGACAGGATAAGTTAAGAGTGCAACCCCCACATTTTCATCCCCCTGCAAAACAAAAAAAGGCGCAAAACCACTAATTTACAATGACCAAAAGGCATAAATTTGATAAGTGGGATAATTGAAAGAATAAGTTCACTAAAAGGACAAACAGCCTAAATTATCGGAAAACCTTAGAACATTTTCTGTGGCTTTCAAAACTGATGCCCAGCACCTAAGCACATGATCAAAGGTGAATTTATATTGTAATCCAATCCTAGGGATATAAAATTTTATAAATTAGACTTCACTTGGATCCTTCTTCTAGTGTTTGGATTAAAACACTTCCACATCCAGATATAAGAAGATGATCAAACTTGACCATATAACAAAACAACTCTAATGAAAGTTAAAACTAAATAACTGGAACAACAGATAATAATGAAGTTGGTGCTGTCGTACAGCTATAAACGCACCGCCTTGCGAGATTTCTCTTTAAACTGAATCATTTTGTTCAGCCAACCAATAGGTGTGGCAGAACTTAGTAGCCACATCAATTCTACATGTGCACGAACATGAGACTGCACAAAAACAGAAGCCTGCATATTCCAAATTCTTGCCAATTAGAACTTTAAAGCATGGCAAAGGTCTAGACACTTAAAAAAAGTGCTTTGAAAAACCATCCACAGCAACAGACCTTGGAGGTGTCCACACCACATGCCAAATAAATGGCTGCTGTGTCCCTTGTTGCCTTTGATAATTGTTGTACATCATATGGTAATGTAATCTGGGGAGAAAATAAAAAAGTTAAAAAATAGAGCAATGAATGAAAACTTAAAAGACCAAGCAAATTAAAACTTATAAGCACTGATAGTATTTCAAGACATACCGCATGGAGGTCGACAATGAAAAAGAGAGTGTCGTAAGTATTCTGCAAAGTTGAACCAAATAGAGACATAAACATCATGAAAAAGTGAAAGATAAAGTGTTAATTTAATGTGAGACAACGAAGATAACTACAAGTTCAAATTCAATTCAGAAAATGCACTCGATAGGAATGGCTACATTGTTGACATGATCATAGCATTTGTATCTGCTCAATGTTTGGCACTGAAATATACCACAGAAAATTTGAATACAACCTGAAGGGCAATCCAATTCTTTATTGCACCAAGATAATTCCCGAGGTGGATAGATCCAGTCGGCTGGACTCCAGAAACTATCCTCTTCCTACACATAATTGAAAACAATGTCAACCTAGAACGCATTCTAGCTTCTTTTTGCAATTTCTAATTCAATCTCACGACTTAAAACTATCTGCAATTATCAAATGTAGCAATTCCTTTTGCTAAGAAAACTGCATTAAATCATAAAATTATGAACACAAGATTACCTGACTGAGCTTGATGAAGTCTCCGGAGCAGCGGTTTCTGTGACCGATAGGCTGCAGCAGCAACGAAGACCGGCGGTATTGCGTCCATACATAGCACGATTTTGATCGAATAAACGCTGTCTTTTCAAGTATTTACTTCGAAAACCGCCATAGTTCCTGGTTTGAATCCAAGCAAAATGTGAGAGACATGCAACGCTGTTTGCGCATATTCAACGATAAAAGAGGAAGAGAGTATACAGTGAAAAGGTGAGGCGAGGAGACGAGTTGGAGAGGATGAGAAAGTGAGAGAGGACTGCACGCCCCATCTCGGTGCTAAAATCTGCTTCTGCTTCTCCGTCGTTCTCTTCAGTGTCTGAGTCTCTGTGTGTCGAGGAGTTTTATCCGGTAAATTAGAGCGGAGGGGAAGAAATCGGCGACGGCGTGTTCCAATTGCAGCCTTTTATTAAGGGTGAAACGGCACGTTTGCCCTCAAACTTACAGTTAGTTCGCAATTAAGTTCTATAAATCTGCCCATTCCCAATTCAGCCCCCAAACTTCCTTTTCGTTACAAGGCCTCCAAACTTCTTAAAAGGCATAAAAGAGGTATAAACTTGAAAAAGTTGATCATGGGCATTGGGCGCACGGTTATGGCTATCAAAAATTGTAAAATATTTTTCTTAAAAATACAATTTTGTTTAATTTTAGTGATAAAAATGACAAATAATTATAATTATCAATTAATTATTTATTAAATAATTAATATTTATTAATTAATAAATTAAAATAAGTTAAAAATTTTATATTTTTAAATTATTTAAGAAATAATTAAAATTTTAATAACCCTAATAATATTAATAATAACAATACTCAAACAAGTTCTCATCCTTTATGTCCCATAACATAATTTTCTTACAAGGCTTTTTTTTTTATTCACTGAAAATTGGGTCAGCCCGAGACAAATAATAATATTAAATTAAGCCCAGTTTTCCTAGTCCAGTGGGCTCTCTTTCGTTGATTTTAGAGCAGAAACCAAAATTTTTTAAGGGATAAAGAATAAGAACGGGGAGGTATGAGGGAGTGTGAGAGGGGCAACTGGAGTGGCGTGGGCTCGTGAACCTGAAGCAGAAATGTTCTGCTGATCTTTTCCAAAGAGAATTCTAGGCTAACGCAGAATAGGAGTGATGGAGCGAATTCTCGAGAGGGAGAGGCGCCAGATGGAGCAAATTCTGGAGCTCGATGCCGAGGATTTACAGATCGAAGAAGTTGAAGGCCTGAACGAATCATCCGACGACGATCGCGACGCAACGTAATCTCTTCTGATCATTGACAAAATTTCGTATTTCATTTGATTTCAGTCGCATCTGCTTTGAGTTTTGATGCTTGATAATCATGTTCAATTTGTTCATGTTCGTCTTTGGGATACTTTTATTTTAAGAATATTTTTCTCCTTTCTTCTTTTCATGATAATTTGGGGCTTTATTTGAATAATGATATTTGTTAGATTTAATTGGTTACTGACGGTGTTATTCGTAATTTTCTAATGGATGCAAGTGGTGCTCCATCAACTGAGGAATTTACTTTCAATACTTGTTTGGCTTCTCTGCATTCGTATCTTGGTGGTAATAATCGATGCTCCTGTGGCTTCCTACCCATCTCTCCAAACCTTTTCTTTTTATCTTTTTTGTGTCCCCATCGAATTATTTTGAGGTTCACTTCTTAATTCGTGCTACAGAGGTTGATGATACACACCATAGATTGGCTTTCTTAGATGGTGGTGCCATTTTGAACCTCCCGTTGTTCTATCTTGAAGGTATTTACCCAAATGAGATTGGTTTTTGGTTTCATTTACTGCCTATTTGGAGCTTTATTCATGTTTGGTATCCCCTAAAAGTATAGATTATCCTTTTTTTTTAAATTGAATAATATCTGAAAGTGTTTTGAACATTAGTATTTAATTTTATCAATTAGTGAAACCATAACCTTGCAAGTATAATAGGCCCGTCAAATACCCTAAAGTGAGTGAGGTGCATCATGTTCGTGTCTGGTGTTATAATTTTCTTGAGGCTGTCTTTTTTTTTTTTTTTTTTTTTTTCCCTTTTTTTCTCCTCAGTCCATTCTTCTGCAGTTTTACCTGTTGTTTAAAATCTCCCAGGTGTGGTTTTGTTCCCAGAGGCTACTCTGCCTCTAAGAGTTATTCAATCAAATTTTATAGCTGCTGTTGAGAGAGCGTTGAACAGTGTTGATGCTCCTTGCACCATTGGTGTGGTATGTGGATTACACAACATCGACTTATTCATGTTTCTTCTGCTCATTTTTTTTTCCCCTCAAAAGTTAAAAGGGAATCTAAATCATTCCAGGTCCATGTTTCTATGGAACCAGATGTCAGATCAAGGATTGCAACAACAGGGACTACTGCTGAGGTTAATTGCTGAAATTCACTGCTTTTGCTAATTTTTGTCCTTAATTGACATTGTGTCTATGTGATGTTAGACACTCTAGGTTTTAAGATTTTGATGTGCGATACCCTAACAGTTTATGAAATTCATGCTTCTTGTGGCACTATTGCAACAATGATAGTTACCTTGTCAAATAGAAGTTCTAGTAGTAATAGCACTGTAGCAACAGAAAGAAACATATGAAGGGGAAAAATGTGTTTTTTTTTTTTTTGGTTAGCTGCCTATCACAGTAGAGAGGATTAGCCTTTATGTTCAAACTGTTACCAAGCTTTTGCAAGATTATGATTTTTCTAGTCACTTTGATGCATTAATTTACATTTGCAGATTCGTCAACATCGTCGGTTAGAGGATGGTTCAATAAATGTGGTTACTCGTGGCCAACAGCGATTTCATCTAAGACGGCGTTGGATTGATGAGGAAGGAGCAGTAAGAATAAGATCTCTTTCAAAAATATTCCCAAATGTATTTCCTGCAGTACCCATACTGTAAAAGAATAATCCAATGTAAATTTTCTATTTTCTTTTTAGCCATGTGGGGAGGTTCAAATTATTCAGGAAGATTTGCCATTAAGAACCCCTCGAGATGCATTTGGAAACCTGGGGCCATTAAGTAACTTGCAAAGCCATCGGATGCTATCTTCAAATGCTTCATCACATGGATGTGGAGATGAGGCAAATGATTCTGAATCAATTTCAGAGGAAAGTTTTGAGCATGAGCTTTCACCAACAGAAAGGAGAATTCACCGATCTGCAATAGGTTCCTTGTATGAAGATGCTAGGTCGGATGAATCAACAAGTAGTGATGAGGGCTATTTCTGCCGTGAGTCAGATAGTCAATCCTGGAGATCATATGTTAATGACTCTTGCTCCATAGGGTCATCAAAAACAAACAATAAAAAGCAGATCAGAAATGCGGACTTGGGAATTGGGAACAAATCTATAGTTCACAAAGGGCTAGGGCAAAGAAGATCTCAGCGAGGCAGTGACTTGACTCAGATGCGCTTAGTGCCTAGAGCTTACTGGCCCAATTGGGTGTATCGTATGTTTGACTCATATTGTCTTGCTCAGAGGGCAGCAGGTAGCTTGGTTAGCTTTTGATTGTTCCTCTATTTTGCATTTCGTGGTTTGCTTTATCTACTTTGCAGTTTTTGCTATATTTGTAAATACAAAATATTGTTTGTCTAGTGTTAGGTGTCTATATTAATCCTTTACTTGGTAAATTTCTGGAAGAAGTACATGACTGATGTTCAAAATATTTTGCAAAACTGGATCTCTAATTTGTTGGGAATCTGCCATATTTGTATTTATTTATTTTGTTTTCTTATTGTACCTAGACTTTTTTTTTTTTTTTTTGTCTTTTTTGATATTATTTGATAAAGGTATTAAACTGCTGAAGTTATAGTGAAAAGTTTCTTCTTGCTTGCCATTTGGTTGGTTATGTTGCCATGCCTTTAGACAGCTTTTCTTCAGATCTCAACCTTTTTAACAGTTTAGCATTAATAATTTTGCAGATATGTGGAAGCAGATAGTTGGGTCACCAAGCATGGATGCTTTTGTAAGGAAACCTGATCTTTTGTCTTTTCATATTGCCAGTAAAATTCCTGTTTCTGGATCTAAAAGACAGGAGCTTCTGGAAATAGATGGCATTTCATATAGATTACGCCGTGAAATTGAACTGCTAGAAAGTTGTGATCGTATACGATGCAGGACCTGTCAGGTATTAATGTCTTCTTGTTTCTGACACACCCCCCCCCAAAAAAAAAAAAAAAACGCGCGCGCGCGCGCGCACACACCCCACACCCACACAGAGGCATTCAGTGACACTTTCCCTCTTCTTCTGATTTCAGACTGTAATTGCTCAGCGGAGTGATATGTTAGTGATGTCTAGTGATGGTCCTCTCGCTGCCTATGTGAACCCAGATGGCTATGTTCACGAGATAATGACTCTTAATAAAGCAAATGGCTTGGCAATTAGAACCCGACCTTATACAGAATACAGCTGGTTTCCTGGGTATGTTTTGTTATTCCCTCTCTTTTTTCCTCTCTGAAGTCTGACCTAAGATAAGTTAGCTTACAGGGGCATCTACACCAAGCAATTTCACACAAAAAAAAAAAAAAGGTTGGTTCAGAAGATGGGGGGAAATAATCGTAGGAACTAATTGAAAATTTTAAGGCCAAATGAAAAAATCCTAGGAACTAATGGGTTTTACTTTTACTATGGTATTTTGGACTAATTGTAGTGTCATTTGCCACTTTCACAGGTATGCATGGTCAATCATTAATTGTGCCAATTGTGAAACCCAAATGGGGTGGCTTTTCACAGCTACCAACAAGAACTTGAAGCCTAGATCATTTTGGGGGATTCGGAGTTCACTAGTTGCAGATGACACAAACGGAATCAAATGAGCTTTTATACCATATATACATCCGGATGACTTACCGGTGTACGGATGCCGCTTCTGTATATATGACCACCCAACTTATTGCACCTTTGTCTTAAAGCATAAAAGTTTGTTAATGTAGCTTAGACAAGTGAATCGTGCTTATATTGCAGTGAGGGCATATTTTAATCGTAGCATATGGCTGCATCCTTATTTATTTATTTTGGAGTTGGTATTATTCCATTCATTCTGATGTAGTTGCTTACTAATCATGAACGCTAAGCTTCTGCAGATCGCAATGAGTTAACACTCAAAACAAGTACAGGGGAAGGCAGAAAGGAAGAGGGGATCAAAATACCTGAAGTGCAATTGTACCGTATATCTCATCGTAGACAAAAATACCGTGATTCATTTCAACTAGGATTGTAACATCGTTCTTAGAAAATTTATTCAAGAAAAAGAATGAAAAATAATACCTTGACCTAGTGGCTATGCTAAGAACCTAAATTACTAGATATCTTAACGGTAAATATGATGATGGAACAAACATACAATAATCGTAATGTAAATAAAACAAGACTAGGTAATTGCAGGCTACAAAATGCAAGACTTCATCCGTGTTCAGCGATAGGTTCTGTAGGTTGGGCTGTACATGCTGCTTTCGGCACATTTGACGAGGTCCTCGGGTTGTGGGAGACGAGAGGCCAGTCCTAGGAGCAATTAAAATTTAAGTGCAATTTAGAGGTCAGTGAAGTTAAGAGCTTAACATAGAACAACGAACGTGATTCATAGCAGGAACTCACCAAGTTCATATGCCTTAGCAGCAACCTTGGCAGCAATATGGGCTGAGATCTTTCTGATGTTGGCGAATGGAGGGTAAATCAATCCCTTGTCGTAGTTTTCCTGTGTCACTTGTTCAGCCAAAGCTTCCGCTGTCACAAGGGAAAAGAAGCAGCGGTTTAGTTGTGGATTAACAGATTCACAGAGCAGATGCATCTTAGACGTAAAGATGCAATATTCTATACTTACAGGCTGCCAAAAGCATGTCCTCATGAACACGTATCGCACCAGAGATAATCACACCCAAACCAAATCCTGGGAATATATAGGCATTGTTGGCCTGAATGACAGAAACAAGCAGACAATGGATATTGTCAAATTGTTGTGCAACTAAGTTCCAAAGTTCAAGATGATTCAGGAACAGAACAAACCTGGCCAGGCACATTAAGTTTTCCATTATATTCAACAGGATCAAATGGACTTCCACTGGCAAAGATTGCTCGACCCTGCAGATTAAAGAAGGATAAATTAAAGATGAAGCTTATAAGAAGGCTTTTACTTACCATTTTAACTTTTTAAGCCATAGAAAACTCCATCTCAAACGCAAAATGAGGTTTTCATGTTTTTATATTTAAATTTTAAAACAATCCAATATTCCATGACATGTTATAAACATAACCCTGAAAGATTCTTTGTTCTTCATTTTCAGTTTGGTACACAAAAGTACCAATTTGCTACATACCTCAGTCCATGTATATGCTTCTTCAGCTGTACATTCAGCTTGTGAGGTAGGGTTGGATAGAGCCATAATAAGAGGTTTCTGCATATCAAAAGTTGAGATCAAAATGAAAACTTGGAGGAGATAATATAACACTTTTATAAAGAGACAAAGAAAGAGAGAGGACCTCATTCAACACTGCCATGGCCTTGACCACCTCCTTTGTGAATGTTTTTCCCACTCCAGATGTTCCTATCAGGATAGTTGGCTTGATTGCCTGATTAATAAAAGGCAATAAAGTAAGATGATATGCAGGAAAAAATATGAAATGATTCTTAAACAATATTGATGGATAAATTCAAGGTGATTTTCTTACTTTCACTGCATTTACGAGTTCCTTGACAGGTTCATGCTCATGGGCCCAAGGCTGCTTGAAGTGTTGGAGGGACTCTTTGCGAGAGCTAACAATCAATCCCTAGTACCAAGTTCAAACTCTTTAGAAATAAAATGAAAGATAGAATGCACCAAACATTTAACAATGTATGGAAAAACAAAAAATGCAACCCATTTTCCAGAGTTCATGCAGATCAGATATGTAGTACCTTGGAGTCAACAAGCCAAATCTTCTTGCGGGACTCTTCCATTGAAGCATTTGTCTGCCAAGAACAAAGCACATGTTTAATTACAAAGCACCACAGGTAGGTTTATTATTATTATTATTATGATTATTATTATTTTTTATCAGCATTCACAAAGAGAAAAAATAGTAAGAAAATTTCGATTAACCATTACCTGCTTTGATATCTCAAGAGCTATAAGCTCAGCTATTCCAGTTCCAGCCTTCAAACACAAGAAAGAACAAAGATGAGATGCCAGAACATTCCACTGAGATTGGACACAAAGATATGCATCTATACTATGCAAGCCTTATCCTTATAATTATGAGGAAATAATGGGGTGAATGTTAGGATATTTAATCAACAGAATAATATTTAACATGTCTTCTCTAGAAAGAGTCAGTTTCCACTGCAGAGAATATCTAAACAGTCAGTGTACTTCAAACGTGATCTTCAAACGTGATGGAGACTAGACAAGGAAAATCCATAATTAATAGACTGATTGAGACATGGTAATAAGTGCTTCTAAACTCAATTCGGATTGGAAGAGAGACACTTATGAGAATTTTATTTGCAAAAGATAGATGGCAATGAAGGCATTCAGGTAAATGGAAATGAACCCTAACCTCTCCAGCACCCAGGAATAAGAATGTATGGTCAGCTAGAGTTCCACCAAGTAATTTCAAGGATGCAATAAGTCCAGCTAGCACCACAGAAGCTGTACCCTGAAATTGTAGAAGTCTTGAACAGTAAGAAAAAATTTCAATTAACAAGAAAGTTAGAAACAGATCCTATTTAACTTGAATCTTACCTGTATATCATCATTGAAAACAAGATGAGTGGTACTGTATTTTGCCAAGAGATCAAATGCATTGTGGTTTGCAAAATCTTCAAACTGAATCATAGTCATATAAGTCAGACAAGAGAATCATGTAAAAATCCATACAAAAAGGCTACCAACATGTAAGCACTGAAAATCACCTGTATTAGTACTTTCTCCCCATAGTTCTGCTTCACCGCACTCATGAACTCATGAAGAAATTCGGAATATTCCTGAACCACAGAAATCAAAACCTCCTTACTTAATATTCCAGACAAGTGAATACAATTTGTGGTTTAGAAAAGTATGACTTGATGACTAAATAAGCATAAGGATAATCATCAAACCTGTCCAGTGGCCCTCCTTTGCCTAAGTCCAATATAGAACTCATCATCTAACAACTTCTGATTGTTAGTGCCAACATCAAGAGTAATTGGCAAGCACTGCACATTTTAAATACAGGTTATATATGGAAGGTTTTTTATCTCTTTTGATTAGCTGAAGTAAGCAGAATAACCAAGAAATATCAAATAAGTAGTGATCATGCAATACTTACTGCTGAGGGACGGACTCCTCCTAGTGCTGTATAAAGAGAGAGTTTTCCTACTGGTATACCCATTCCCTATAAACATTTACAATGGTAAAATCATGTTAGATGTCATGAAAAAGATAGTAACTGACTATTAAAACAGGACTTAAATATGAAGTCTACTACCTGGCAGCCAAGGTCACCCAGCCCCAAAATACGCTCACCATCAGTAACAACAATGACTTGAATACTTCTCTCTGGCCAATTCTTCAACACTTCAAGAATCTTTCCCCTAAAATTTTCGTAAAGTTAGAATCTATTTGAATGCTACACAACAAAGAAATTAAGCATAGAAATTAAACAATATCAAATTATCATACTTCTCTTTCAAACTAATGTAGAGACCCTGAGGGCGCCTGAAAATGCTTCCATATTTTTGGCATGCTTCACCAACGGTGGGAGTGTACACCACTGGGAGAAGCTCCTCCACGTTATCGACAAGAAGCTTGTAGAAGAGTCGTTCATTCCTCTCCTGTAAAATGAAATATAATCAATATTTACAGATTCAGTAACAGTTCATTAGACACTGATTTGTAGATCTAAGGGTTTAGCCATTAAAATGTCCAATTGAAATAGGAATTCTTATGATGCTGCCTATCATTTTCCTCAAAACAGCACTAATAGTGAAAGCAAAAGCCAAGTTTTATGCAACAAATAACAACTATTCTTTATACAAAAAATGGGGTTTTGAATAACATTAGAGAAACCACACAAACTGCTTAACTTTAGTTTGATGATTCAATGAATGTATCTACTCAGTGCTAAAAAAATAAAATAAAATAAACGAACACACCTGAAGATCCATCATGGCCATGTATCGTTGCAAAGGAACTTGATATTGACGAAGGGTGTTCATCAATCTCTTCTCCTGAAACTCAATCAAATTACATAAATATATGTACAAGATTTTTGGATCCATGAGGAGGAGTCCAAAACAGAGGAAAGCAAACCTGAAGCTCCTGGCTCAGGACAACCGGGGGCAAAAGGCCACGCAAGTAGTGTGCATCTCTCTCTTTCTCAGTGAATGCAAGTCCCTTGTTGTGGCGCGGGTCACGCAACAGTGAATACCCACTGCAACACAAATAATACAGTTCTAAACAGTGTGGCAGCAAAAAGGAACAAACATGTAAAAACATCTAGTTGAAACATCACAAGATCAAGTAAAATCACAATTTTTTTGAAAGACAAGCTTTAAATAAATTTAACATTTTCTTTCAATCAAGGTATAATGCAAAAACTAAGAACTACTGTTTTGTAAATCATTCCTTCATATCAAGGATTTGTTAAATAAAAATTGCAATAGAATTATTTTGGCCAAAAAAATACAGGTGACCAACATGATCTGCATTATTATGTACATACCAAGAAAAAAAAAAAACACTATCATTTAGATTTGGATCTAAAATGCAAAACCTCCAAACTGCAGAATGTCCATTTGGAAAGGAAAATGGAAATACGAACCCCAAGCACAAGAAAGATTGAAAATTGAAGATGGTAACATACTAACATTGGCATTGTTGCATAAATCTGAGAAAATCACCTGGAAACAGAGATAGTCCAAGGAGTGGCAAGCTGATTCAACGTGGCACTATCCTCACCGTACATGTCCTTCACACCTCCTTCAACAGCAGCCTTGTTATCCACTACATCACCACCGTTCATCATTTTTCTCTCCAGCAAAGGACACACTTTTCTTTCTCTTCTACCCAACACCACTCTCTGCAAGATATCAGAAAGCTGAAAATTGGAGACAAAAAAACCAGAATACCCAGAAAGCAGAAAAGATGAAACAAGAGGCTTTTGTGGATTATGTGTGTCGTGCCAACGAAACTCTTCCTTTTATAGGAAAACCAAACCCCGGAATTTTCCAAGGAAAACGAGGTCCAGAAACAAACTGAGTCTTAAAGTCAGCAAGGGATTAAAAAAACGTGTACCCACCGTTGAAAAACCAAATTGTTCAACCAATTAAAATAATGGGGAGAATGTGAAGGAGGGTGTGCCCAAAATGTCGAATTTTACAGGTTAAAAACTCATTAAAAAGGAAGGAATTATACCATGGTGTGTCTTTTCAATAGAAACATGGCGTGGGGGAGTAGCGTGGAAGCGCCGTAGGGGGACAAGAAGGAAGGTATGTCCTATGTTTTCCGCGTGTGTGGAGAGAGAAAGAAGGAAAAAGGTGGAGCCTTTATTCCCGCGTTTTTTAGTAGAAAACGAATTCTCGGGAAAGCTATTTCTTCGTTCCGCTTCTCGTATGCTATTTTCTCGTTAAATGCTTTTGTGGGTTTGGTAGATTTCCTTTCCTTCTGCTTTCTGTTCATATTCACAGAATTCTTCTCTCAGTTTCGCCTCATGATTTTTTCTGAAAGGTTCGCATTATGATTTTTTATTTAATGGCTACTGAAAGAACATGGAGATGGCCACTAATGGTAATATTATATTTATTAAAATTGTAAAATGTTATATTTAAAAATATTAATTTAATTTATAAAAATAATTAATAATATATAAAATAATTGATATTTATTACATAATTAATAAATTTAAATCAATTAATAAATTAACATTTTAAAACACCATTGAAAA